TAAAAAAAAAACCAAGTGAAATATTTAATAATAAAATTACACATGCAGATAAAAATTGCAAAGATAAAAAATATTGATAACAGAACAAAACTGTTTTAAAAATATAATAAACATAAAAGCATTACCCTGGCATCGTACCATGAAGATTTGGTTTTGTTCAACAAGAAACAGATACCTTCAACAACTACGGCTCCTGACCATCTACAAGTCACTGGAGGAAACAGGGACAATTTAAACTTATAACATAGAGCTAAAAATACGGATATCAAAAAGGACAATAGATAGAGCTTGTCATTTTAAGTATAATTTGGTTGAGGCTTACATTAGGCGTGCACTGATTTTAAGAAACTTTGAATAATTACGATTAACTTCTTTTATATCTGAAAAAAAATAAATTTAATCTGAGGTATTATAACTGTACATCTAGAAGTGATTAAACATTATTCCATTATGTACAGAGTTGTGATTGTAAATGCTGACTACATTCATTTTTAAATTGTTATTACAAAATTACATTTGATGTCTAGTGCAATACTTAATTATTCACCTTCTAACATTGTAAAAATATAATAACTGACATTGTTGCAGCTTAAAGATATATCCTCTTGACGTATTATACATGAAATTAAAACAAATATATGACACCTGCAAATTATATATATCTCAATGCAAATATGTTTATAAATATTAATTTCCAACCTGCTTCTACAGACGCAGTGAAGACCATCAACCCTGCAACGGTCAGTACCAACAGGACAGTGTTCTTCATGGCCGACTAATCCAACTCTGACAGTAGACGGAGCTCTTGTCTCGACTTTAGAATAATACTTTTTTTTTTATATAAAGCCTAGTTTAAGACAATCGAGTTTACGATTGAACTATTTATTTCGTGTTTCTTATATTCTTTATTATTTCACAAGATCGTACAATACATTTTTTTCTAGAACAGGACATAGAGATCAATCACTTTTGATTTATATAGATCATATCTCTTTCGGGGGACCCTCTTTACACAATGATTCTCACGATTTTATTGGGAGGAAAATTACATTATTTTTAACCTATTTGAAATTCATGAAAGTATCCTCTGTTTTATTCTAAAAAAAAATTGTTCACTTATTATTAAGAAAACTTTATTTAAAATTAAAACAAAAAAGTAAGAACAAAAGTTTAAAACGTTTTACAAGTTATAAAAATTCTATCTCTACACAATGGAATAGTTTTAAAAGATGGTTACACGGCATTGAATTTCGAAACCGTGGTGACTAGTTCACGGAGTAAATCATTAGATAAAAATATCGATCTACTCGACGTACTTCTACTACACTGATTCGTTTGTCCTGTGATAATAAAGACCATTAATGAAATCAATCACTTGATCAGCTAACTTGACGTGCTTCAGATTTATCTACCATCTTTTTGTACAGGGAATTGTGTTTTTGGGGGAGGGGGTGGGGGCTTACATTTATCTTTCCTTTGATATAATGCCAAATATTCATACTTAGCTAATGTCTACCTTACAAAAAATAAATAAAAAAGTTAAAAAAATAATTATTCAAGAATATGGTTTGATCGAGGAAATCTGTAGCGTGTGCATGATTTAAACAAGCAAGGCGCACTCCCCAATTTTAAATATGTATTTGCTATATGGATCAATGGTAGGCACTAAAAATTCTTATCACAAATGCATTTCAAACGGGTGTAGGTGGTCCTTCAAATGATAATCAACATTCTGTCATTACTTTTTTTTTTTTGGCTGCGTTAATATGTTAATGATTTATTGTTCAAAACTACACACGACGCGTGTGCCGGGTTTCAATCACAGACTTACGTAAAAGAGTGTTTGACGGGATCAGTGTTGTCGAAGAGTGTTTAATGGGCTCAGTTTTGTCGTCGAGTGTTTAATGGGCTCAGTATTGTCGTAGAGTTTTTAATGGACTCAGTGTTGTCTTAGAGTGTTTAAGGGGCTCAGTGTTGTCGAAGAGTGTTTAATTTGCTCAGAGTTGTCATAGAGTGATTAATGGACTTAGTGTTGTCTTAGAGTGTTTAACGGGCTCAAAATTGTCGTAGAGTGTTTAACAGGCTCAGAGTTGTCCTAAAGTGTTTAATGGGCTCAATGTTGTCGAAGAGTGTTTAACGGGATCAGTTTTGTCGAAGAGAGTTTAATCGGCTCAATTTTGTTGTAGAGTGTTTAATGGGCTCAGAGTTGTCGTAGAGTGTTAAATGGGTTCAATTTTGTCGTAGAGTGTTTAATGGGCTCAGTGTTGTCAAAAAGTTTTTAATAATTACAGTAGTGTAAAGAGTGTTTAATGTAACCAGCATTGTCGAAGTGTGATTAGTATGCACGGTTTGTTGTAGAATGTTTACCGGGTTCAGTATTGTTGTTTTGGTTGAACTGAGAGACGTGTTACTAAGGCTTCGCCGAAACTTTCAACGCTTATGGCGCAGATCTAACAGGAACTAACTGAACGGCATCTTCTCAGGGGATGACACTCCGACGAAATTTGCTCACGAACAACCGCTTCTGGAGCTATGTGAAGCACAAAAAGTCCGCAAACACTGGGGGTACTACCCTGAGGTGATACGGCACTTTAATATCTGACCCAATGGCACAGTCTAACATAATCAATCAGCAGTTTCAGTCAGTCTTTGGTAATGGTAGAGAGTTCTCGGAGGCTGAGTTCCTTCTGAAGACCATCACGGTGAACAGAGCCTACTCCATCATGAAAGATGTCCAGATATCAGGGCAGGGTATGCTTTCCCTCCTCAAAACGTTTAACCCCTACAAAGATGTTGTCCTGACAACTTCAACCACGAGTGCTAAAAATTTGGCCAAATATATAGCTCCTGCATTAATAATCCTCTTACAAACAATGCTGTGCACAGGCAATGTTCAAGCAGCCTGGAGAACAGCGCATGCCACTCCAATCTACAAGAAAGGGGAGCATCCCGACCCTGCAAATTATCGTCCGATATTCCTCACCAGCGTGGTATTCAAACTGTTGTGAGCACATAATCGTAGGCGCAGTCCTGAAGCATCATAAAAATAAAAAAAAACGTCAATGTCTGTCAACATGGCTTCCGAGTCAAATTATGCTTTTGCACACTCTTCAGAGATATGGGATCCGAAATCCAAGGCTTTACTAAAACAGAGATCTCTAGCTTCCTCAGCATCTGATGCCAATAAAGTAGTGTTGAAAAGTAAAAGCTGCCCCCTTTGCGGTGTTAAGTCAGTGGTCCCACTGGGCTCGATGCTAAGCCCTGTTTGTTCCTAGCATACATCAATGACCTACCCAAGGAACTGACAGCCGATGTAAAACTGTTCGCAGATGACACGACAGTGTATAGCACGATCACCAACAGATCTGATCAGGACCAGCTACAACAGAATCTCAATCGTTAGCTGAGTGGGAGATGAGCTGGGACATGGAATTTCATCCTACAAACTGCCAGACACTGTCAGTCTCTAGAAATGTATCCTCTACACCAACACTACGAACTGCATGGCCACATACTTGGGCCAGTTCTTTCCGTAAAGTACCTGAGTGTTACCATTCAAAGAGAGGTCTGCGAGGACAAGCATATTAAGAATGTGTGCAACCAGGCACAAAAAAACCTGGGTTCTTAAGGCATAATCTCAAGGTCAGCAACTCCAGAGTGAAAGAAAAATTTTATGAAGCCTTTGTCCGTCCTTTTTTAGTATATGCATCTTCTTTCTAGGACCACTTACCACGGAGAGCATCGACAGCCTATCGGTCCAGGTACAGTCAGCACACTTTGTCCAGAACCACTACAGGAATACTTCTTGTGTTGGCAGCATGCTGGAAACATTGGTCTGGTCACCGTTGGTGGAATGACGAAGACTATCCAAGGCTCTCCAAGATGTATGAGATAAATAACGTGATGGTCCACTGCTCCAGAATTTAACAGAAACTCGTCACTCTCTCATTGAAAGCGAGGAGGCATACACATGTCAGGGCGAGAAACAGCGAGAGGATCTTATGTTGCTTACCTAACTTGTGTTAATTTATTTAGAATGAATTATTTATAATATAAAAAGTATTTTAATTATACAGTGGCCTAATTAAAAATTTACTGAAATTTTTTCAACGATTTTTACTGTATTTTATTTATTTTGCAAACATATATAAAATACTGCTACATGTTTTAAAGTTCTTCTTCCTTTTCCATGGCTTGTTGTTAACTTCACTTGTTTTGCATATGATAGTTACATTTTTACTGGTATACAATTGTATTTCTTGCAATTTTTTAAAATATATATAAATCATTCATAATAACTACACTTTTGCTCGAATTTTTTATTACTAACTAAATCTTTGGACGGCCCATTGACCCACTTTCCACCAAACTATCGAGCTAAAACGTGGCTTATATACTGACTGTCGATGTTAACACATTCTGCCATATTAACTTCACTTTCCAACCAAGACCTTAAAAATAATAGTTTAAAAAAAAGTTTAAACAAAAGTTTTCCATGTTTTAAAGGAAAGGTAAAGGAATATGACATGATACAACTGAATCAACGAATTTAATTTCCCAATGACTGCGCTAAATGAGATTCTCCAAAAAAAAATAATTTAAAAAAAAATAAAATAAAAAATAAAAAGAATTAAACATGCAAGTGCGTTTGTGCCTCAGATTTTCTTTTCTTTTCACAAAACTTTGGTGCAGTCAATCTACGATTTAATAGCTGATGGGACATTCGAATATTAAAACAAAGAAAGCTAATTTTAAATAATGCATATGAAGAAGTTATACGAAAAACTTGGTTTTCTTAGAAGTTGTTTAATTTCATGATTAGATTAATTCAAAATCAAATTGATCGACAAATATCAACGGAGTTGCAAGTTTGTTTAGTTTGTGTAGTTTAAAAAAAGAATGCCCTATTGTTTTTAAATATAATTGTAATGCATGGCAAACAAAATATTATTTACTATTTTTTTTCTTAAGATTTTCTGAAATTTTATTTAAAGTTTATGGTTCATACCCTAGTTGAAATCAAATGACTAAAATGTATCATTCAAATACATTAAGCAATATTTGTTGCATAGCTTCAATTTTTTTTTTCTAAAAATTAAAATTTGTTTCATTTATTCATTTGATATCCATTGCAAATAAATTGTGTTGTAGACTTTGTTTAAAATTTTTTACTTAAGGGAAAAAAGATGAAATTTCCCTAAGTGGTGCTACCGTCTTCGCTTTTGGCAAATAATGTTATGGTGTGTTGTATATTAATATTTTTATAACATCTAGACACTTGACTGGCGACTTTAATTGAGGAAACTTTACAAGGTGAGCTTGTTTGAACGATCTCTTTGTTTTCATACCAATTTCTACGGTTTCTGTGTTTTCAGTTCTAGGTGTGTTGACTTCTACTTTCTCTGTGTTTACTGATATAGGCGTGTTAGCTCCTTCTTTATCTTTTTTTTTTAGAGCTAGGTGTGGGCTTCTGCTTTCTCTCCGTTTTCAGGGCTAGACGATATTCCATTGTCCTTTTCGGTTATTTCAGACGATATTTCCTTTGAAGTGTTTATGTCAGCCCCTGGAGTGTCTGGAACCATATTCTCCTCGTTTGTAGAATTTGTAGCTTCACTTGCAGAAATCATTTCGGAAATGCAGGTCGGGCTAACTGGGGAAACTGTGGAAGAGAAAAGAGGAACACTTTAAGTCGGAAGTGTTGAGAGGTCTTTAAGATGTCTGTCTGTTCATTGGGATTGTCCTCACTTTATTCTAAGGAAGTTAGTGTGGATATGGCGTTACAATATTCTTTTTTGTCTGGGAGGTGTAGTTATGGCCTTCTTATTTACTCATCATTGATGGACTTCGCAATACATCTTTCACATTTTAAGATAAAACTATGTAAACAAAAATATACGATCGTAGTGTAAATTTAAAAAAAAAAAAATATTAAATTCGAATTTTTTTTTTCAAATTTAAAGATACTTTAAAAAAGATCTGAATGTTTTAAATATTGTGCGTAGTTTCGCTAATTTTTCCTTTAAGTAAAATAATGAATTATGAAATTTTGTATCCATTATTTAAAAATCAAATGATAAAAAATAGTGCATAATTTTCAGAAAAAAAAATGTTTTTAATATATTATACTTTGAATTAAATTTTTTAAAATATATTTTAAATAAATCAAATTATGTGTTAATAAGTTCCTTTCTCTTACATACACCATTAATATAATTAAAAATCCATTTCTTTAGTTACTTAAAGGTTTTAAAATTGAATTTCCTGAATAATTATCCAGCCATAAGTTTTACTATACCATTCACATTTTATTCTATACTTGGTTACACACATGTTACTATTTTAACAACCAAACATACATTTAAGAAAGAAAGAAGCTAAAAAAAAAAAGAGATGTAACGTAAACATTCCATATCAAAACACTTTACTTGCCTCTTCGCTCCGTGCAAAGAAATACAAACGTTGATTTACACGCTCGTGCATCGATCCACCTGTCTCCATAGCCCATCAATACGGCTCCACAAGAGTCCTCTTTGGGTTTGCCTATTGAGCCAACAAATTGACCCAGGCCAAACACTGGTGCCCCCGTCGCTTCGGAGATCCATTTACCGCTCTTTACATTGTACCGTGCGCCAATCCAAACGTTATAAGCTGCAAGAAAACAGACGTAGTTAAGCCAGAGCACGTCTCAATAATTGCATAGTAACTTTTTTCTCTATCCTGGTATGCGCCGTTGTCTTTTAAAAAAATTAAAAAAATGGATATGTTTTAAGAGGTATTTTTTTTTTTGTTTGGTCAAAAGTTTCATTTTTCTCAATTTTGCTAGTAAATACAATATCCACAACAACACTCAGACTCAGACACACCATCACAGCCATACGCACAAGCACGCCCACAGAGAAACACACCATCACAGCCATACGCACAAGCACGCCCACAGAGAAACACACCATCACAGCCATACGCACAAGCACGCCCACAGAGAGACACACACCATCACAGCCATACGCACAAGCACGCCCACAGAGAGACACACACCAATGGAGTACTGTATAATTCATCGTACAAAATGTAATTGATTGTATTATAAGATTCAATTATTTATATTTTTGATAAAGAGCAACATTTTAATTAATGTTCTGATGAATTGTTTCGATATTGTGGTTCAGACAATCTTCATCGGCTTTAAGTTGTTGTTTTTTTAAATCAGGGATTGAGCCCTGCAGTAACGCTCGGGAACTGAGCCACACCATTTTTTTTCTTTCTAAGAAATAAATACCTTCGTATTCTAACGTAATTACGCTATTATTTTTTTTTTTCTGCCAGGGCTTGACTCCACTGAAGATGAACAGACATAAGAAAAGTTCTGCTATTGTTAGAGGCGTTGCAAGGATCAATTTATTATTAGCATTAAAGTTATCTTTATTATTATTCCTGTTGCTTGAGTTATAAGCTTTTAAATAATGAATTTTAATCATATCAATAATTTAAAATATACGTTTTTATACAAGTAATTAAAACGCTTGAAATTCTCCCCCATGCCCGTTCAAGTTTAAGAATTCATTATAGTCATAAACTATTATCACAAATCCACAGTAACTGAATGGTTATTTGTCTCATAATTAATACAGTCAGCATTTCAAAAAAAAAATAAAAATAAAGTTAATATATTATGTGCATTAAAAATACTTACGATGCTTAAATATTTGCCTAAGTTCAGGTATTTTATTCAAATGTTGTTCTGTTTTAACCAAAGCCAGCTCACCTCCTTCTGTTATGCATTCAGCCTTTATGGGGAAAAAGTGGCCCGGGGGGCGGGGGGGGGGGGGGTAAGAGTAATATCATTTAAAACATGCAGTATAAAAACGATGTATTTAAATGCATGCATGGCAGCCGTGCGATTGACCTGTACGTTCTGCAGTTCTACGTTCGATCCTACTTAATTGTGCTCGGGTTTTCTATGCCCCCTTTTTTTAATTGCACATAAATTAATTTTGTTTTATAATATAAAAAAAAAGTAAAATGGCTGCAAGCCTACACACCTATGCTAAATGTAACACATCTACTCTGACATGAATACTGTTCCTTTAACAATTAATGTAAAATTTTAATCTATGAAGTGAAATCTAAGTAAAGAATATAAGCATGATGCATAAGTGGCTGAATATTAAATGAAGTTTGTATTTAGGATTAAAATAATATTTTAATTTACATAAAAACTGAAGTCAACGCTAACGATTAAAAGCATCATTTTTTTTTCGTATTTCATTTTTTTTTTTTTTTTTTTTTTTTTAAAGGCAACGTTTTTAAGAAGAATAAAAGTGTTCATTAAAATTTTCGCCTATTTTACCTTAGCATTATCATAGGTAGCTTTCTGTTGTCTTAGAAAGAAACAAGCGCCATGGACATAATAGGAATCTTTTCTGTTGCATTTTCCTGAGGAAAAAAAAGAGAAAAGAAAGTACAATTTTAAATTATAGCCATTAAAATTACCTCACCCTCCGGATTAAATGACAGAGGACGATCAATCAGTCAGTGGATTTACTGTGTTAAGGAATAAATTCGAAGCCCACCACATTGACATCCATTAGTGTTTCTCAAACGGGATCATAGAACCCCGGGATCTGGGATGATAGTTAGGAAAAAGTTCCATCAGCGTAAAACCCAAGTAATGACTATCATTATACGTTTAAAAAAATCTCAGCAAGTTATAGATTGCTACAGCTGATCACTTTAACCAGGGACAGATGCTCAGATGGTTTTGAAAAAAAATATCTCCAATTTATTTATGTACTAGACCAACATTTCTTTTAGCGTATTGTGTCACCCGACGACCTAACATGAATCTCTTCACTACCGTATTCAAGATCTAGCCATCTTTGCCCTAGAACAGTGGTCGAAAAATCAAGGCCCACGAGCCGCATGCGGCTTTTTAGCGCCCCTGACTGCGGCTCGGCCAAGTCAGCCACAAATCGGTTTTTGCTCCGAAAATATGGTTCTTGACATGTTCTGGAAAAGAAATTTTGCTCTAGAAAATGTTATAATCATCCTGCTGGGGATTTTTGGACCTTTTGACCAATGACTTTGCAAAAAACTGTCTTAGAACATTTTTTATACCATTCTGTCATTTGTCAAACTATCTTCATATTGTACCAGACTGTTCATTTGTTAAACTAACATTATATTTTAACAAGAAGGTCAAACCACCTTTATATTATACCAGGCTGGTCATGTGTAAAAATATCATCGTATTACGTGGATGACTTTTGTACCTTATAAAATCAACATAGTATGATATCTACATACATAGGTACATGTGTTAACAATTGTATCTGTGGTTTAATTAAATCTAACCCTTGTTACAAGTAGTTGTAAATATTTCGTAAGTTATTCGCGACTAGAACGTGTGATGTTTTAAAAATGCGAAAGTCAATACTAGTTACTAATGACTAGGACCAGGCAGGGGAGAGTATAACAACTTGGTGCAAGGGATCAACCTGTCATCTACCCTTAACTTCGGTGTTCATACATTAATACGCTGTAGCAATCAAGCCATTATAAAAAAAAAAACCTCTTGCATAGTCTATTTATAATACGTATGTTAATGGCATTTTTTTCCAAAGGATTTATCGGGATTCCGGGATGAGCGTCAATTGTCTTTCCGTTTTCTTGGGATCGTAAGAACCGCCAGGATAAGGGTAAACCATTTCCACTAGCCCGCCTTATGTCTTGCGGCAAATCGCTAACGGTTACTCCAACTATACCAAGGAACATAAAAGGAAATACATTACTTTAAAAAAACTATTGTTAATTCATGTAATACAATGGTCTGGTTCTGGTAGTGTTCGTCGCTGCATCCATATACTGCCATCTGTGCAACGGTTGGGGGAATTGTGTTGCTAGTCGAACAGCTCCTAGCAGATACCAGGGCAGCCTTGAAGCTTTCGAGCGATGTTTGTTAAATTTAAATGAGTATATTGAGAGGATAACGAGAATATTAATTAATTTGACTCTTCATTTCAAGCTTAATAGTATACTTTTAAAATCTATAAACTTGTATATATAATATATATTACGCTACTAGTGTGACACGTGGACTGATGCCTAATTATTGAATTTGTTTGAGAGTATATTACAAATAATTCTTAATGTTTGAAGAGATGACGAGATGTAGATCTTACTGTCGTGTGCTCATCTAACCCTGATGACAGATTATTATTTTTTGGGGGTATTTCCTCCCACTTCGTCCCACGGGCCAGTACAACTGATATAAACGGATACAAAGACACTAAACACTAACTGGTTTGTTGCAAGCTATAAGTTTATTCACCTTGGCAATTTAAAAATTCCGTCAACTATTTCTGGTATATAAAATATGAATAACAGTCAAGATTTTCCAGGAAAACACTCAGCAGCACACAACAAGTAAAACATTGAATATCCTACAATGACCAGCAATCCATCATAACAACAACGAGATCTGTCACTCATATTAAAGGTATGACTAGACAGGATTATTTTCAAGCTACTCGTTCTGACACTGGGCATAGGTCTAAATGTATTTTAACTTTTAATCCCTGTAACCTAAAAGCTCTTTCTCTGGTTATGAAACACCGCTCAATTCTTATGGCAGACACTGTCACCAATGAGATTTTCAGAAAACCTCCCCTTGTTCCTTTCAGGAGGAACAACATCTTTAGAGACATGCTAGTTAGAAGCCGGCTCCCTGCTATTGAAGCTCATTAAAACACCAAAAGTTGCAACCTAGCCGATGTAACACATATCCCTACGTGATTGACGATTATAATATCACTTTCCCTCTGAAAATATTCAGAATAAAGGATGGATTTACCTGCACAAGTCACAAAGTGATTTACACCAATTATTGTAAAAGAGGTGTAAATTATACGTGGGAGAGGCAGGTCGTCGTCTTGAGAACTGGTTCAGAGTACACCTCTATGACATAAATAAACAAGCTCTCTGTCTTGTCTTCAAACATTTCAATAGCCCTAACAATGATGGAATTTTAGACATCGCAGTTACTGGTATACTGTATACTAGTAACACACCTGATAGGATCTATAGAGAGAATAAATTAAAGACAAGATTTTATACGTTGACTCCAAACAAGATAAACCAAATTCACAATTTTACGCAGCTGCCATGTCTTTTTCCTGCTTCGTTTTTTGTTGTTGTTTTTTTCCAGATCACGTCCTTTCCATTCTTATTTATTTTGATTCTTTCTGGCTTTTGTGCCCACTCCTATTTTTTATCTCATTTTTGGGTTGGATATATGTGTATATATATTATGTTAATTTGTTTTATACTTATATAAACCTTTTGTTTTATACTAATGAAGACATGTGCCATAACGTTTATTTGTGTATTATATACAGTTATTATTTAATCTTAACATATATTGTTATATTGACACAAATTGTGTGTGTCTAATTCATCTCAATTTTTGTAAGAAAGTATTGTTCAATAATGAGTTCAATAGCGCGCAATATATAATCATGATAACTAAGCCAAATGATATACTTTCTTTTCGGAAAATGAAATCTTCTCACTTTAAGTAAGATGTAAAACGAAAATCGGTTTAAAAGTTGTTGGGACATCAAGGTATTTAATAGATATCGGAATATTAACATAGTTCATGGACGTGAAATAAAAAGTTTGAAGTAAGTATCATGTGGGAAGGAGAGTGGCAAAAATTGGGATTCTTAAATATGCGTTACTTGAGTTCAGGATTTGTCAAGTAACTTTAGTACATGGAGTTCGCACATTGCCAGATGCTGTGTATTGTTTGACGCATATTTGTATATAACAAATGGCGTCTTGCAAATGTGTTAGTATGGGAGTTTTTTTTTTTAATAAAGAGATGCTTGCTACAAGAATCATTGGTTTCTTAAATAGTTAATAAAATGAATTATAAAATGAACCATAAAATTTTATCTGTCAATGGATATTTGTTCAAAGTTATCTCTGTGCCGGGATCCGGCTACTGCCTGTTCCTAGCATTGAGTTATATCTTGACACAAGCGGTTGATGAAGGCAGTGCACTCTCAATAAGGCAGTAGAACTCGTTGCATCACGTTGGGACAGATTTGGAGACGCTCTTCCTGTACTTCTTTTCACTGCAACTCAAGCTATCACCAAAAAATCAAGAGTACTATCAATACATGTCAACATCTGTCGTTTTTGGTGGTGAGCCCGAAATTCAAACTCTCTCTAAGATTATCAATGCTACAGTGCACTCAAGACAATTGGACAATGACCACTATGAAGCCATCCTACCAACTCCGATCATGTCTCCACAGAAGCACATAATGTTTGATGATCAAACCAAAACATCTGTCTTAAGACATTTTTCTCTTCCAGACAGTGTCGTCTGCTGCTAGAACTTTCCTCTGCGACATTCGTATTAAACCTTTTAAAACAAAATCAAGCCTAGCCAAACACAAAAGCCCGACAAATTGTTTTGGTGTAACACTTGGATTAACTGTTTCACAACGCAGAACTCTCTTCATAAACATACACAATTTCTACTCGTTGAGATATTACCTGACTCCCACTCCATTAGCACCTTCATCCAGTGCGATTCCTGCAACAAAACTTTTCAATCGCAAAACTAATTTCAAACGCAAACGCAAAATGCAAACACAAGAAAAAAAAATTGCTCGCCGAAACTATACGTGTGCCAAAAATGCAATAAGATGTTCACTACATGTTTTTTTTATGAAGCACATCAAAAGTCATTCACAGCGTTTGCGATGCAACATCTACAATGCAACGCTTCCAAACAAAAGCAGTCTCAACAGACATATACACAATCCTCGGTACCAGGGGTAATACTTAACCTAATTTATGTCTTACCGTACAAGAGTACAACACTAATAGTCCAGGCCAGCAGTGAAAATACTTTAATGCGCTATACTGACCTGCTGAGTGTAATGCATCTAGCAAGTATTCAAGTTGCTGCCACGACTGGAAAGTAGGGTTACCACATTGGCTGGAGCCATCAGTGTCTTTACAACAACTTTTTACTCATCAAACTTCAGAAGCTAAAGATTATCATGGACACATTTGAGAATACAACACTTCTCTAGCGTTTGCTTCCATGGGTGCACATATAACTCAACCTCCAGGTCACGGACCATGCTTTTCTACAACTAAATGGAAAATTTATTAAAAAATGCCTGCACTATACACTAACACTGCTATCTTTCCAGTATATAGACAGTTGTACGTTTTGGACACAGTGGAATAAAATGAAATAAACTCAAACAAATAAAGCACATTCTGCATGCAGCTAAAATTTACTCATCCAGCTAGATTCCATGCTTAGAATCCTGAACCCCTTCCCTAATCATATCAACACATGTTTGAAATCGCTCAGGCCAATCACAACAGTATATGTCCGAATGGTTTTAAAGAAAACCCTGGGCTTTGTTGAAAACGATGTTATGTCCCGACATGTCACACCGATGTTGAGGCCATTTTCGTCGGAGAAGATGTGAACCGCTTGCCGAAAGGGACATTTGCATTTATTTTAGACGCAACTCTTGTGTTGAGCAAGAGAGGTTCACTTTTTTCATGAAGTATTTTTTTCTTCTTAGCTCATGAATTTCCTTCTCAACGTTCACCGTTTATATTCGTACACCGCTGTTTGCTACGGCAGGTATCAACTAGTATAATTATAAGATCATACCTCAAACAAGATAGTGATATATTATCATCGTCTGTTAAGTAAATGTCCATAGAATACATAGAAAAGAACAACAAAAATTACTATACAAGCAAAAAGATATTTTTTAGTTCGTAATGATCATATTCAAATCGATGTTTGTAGCGAAACAAGTGTTAAAAAAGGACCAAAAAAAACAACCTTTATTTACCTGAAAATTGCAAAACATCTGAGGCCGTATTATAATTACAACATGAACATTTTTTTTCTACTTCGTTTTTCAAATTCAAAGGGAGGATAGTTTAAATTTATGCTATCTGTTTGACAAAATAATAAAGAGTTATTGACGTTTTTTTTTTTCTTTCTATCCTCGTAAAAATTTAACACACTCCAGGAAAGAAAACAAAAACTCAGCAAATTAATTCATTCAAATTTAAGAAATCCTTTAAAAAAAACATTAAATAAGTGCAAAAAATAAAACATTAAAGAGAAATGATTATTTACTTTTAAAGGAAAAGAGAAAAGCTTAAATGAATATTAGATACATTTGATATAATCAAGTATAGTCTTTACCTCCAAGTGAGGATGCCACGTATACAACCAAAAGTAAAGCAACTATCTTGAGATCAGTCTGCATCTTCATACCAGCCTCAGGTGCGAATGTCAATTCAATTCCAGGATCATCTATTTGTGGGTAAATTAGTTGGTTATGAGACGTTTCGCCGACGCCTTATCGCCGAAACTTTATCGGGGGTCCTGGCCACTTCGCTGTCGAATATTTCGACGACAATTAACACCCTAACTACAAATGTTTTTTTTTTTTATTAATCCTTGATTAGAATTTTTGTTTGCATACACGCATTTTAAGGCGACCAATCATTTATGATGTGCTTGTAGCAAGTCATGTTTGGTTCGGGAATGATTTTTATCAAAATTCGTGCATGGAAAACCAAATAGACTCACGATAAGTTTGAACACAAATGCGTCACAAATCCAAATATCAAACAACATAATAACAACAATTAATCCAAATACCAAAACACGCTACCATTGAATACATTAACATCCCCCCCCCCCAACCCTTTTCTTGTGGAAAAAAGAGCGACAACTTTTTACTGAGATTTGAGTGTTGGAAGTAGGCTGAACATTTGATCGAATGTGTTGTCATCTTCAATGTTTCTGTGTGCCAAGATTCAGCTCGACAGAATGACAGGAAAAGAGTTGATTTAAGACTTCCGAATCATTTGCCGCCAGAGAGTACGGAAGAAAAAAACGAACAAAGGAGAAGTTAATATAAAGAATTAAGATTAAAAAAAATCAAATTAACTGAATTATATTTTATGTTGACATCGGATTAAAAAAATGTGATTAAGGTAAAATAAAACACTCATGTTCCGTTACGATACCGGGTATAGCGCGATCCAAGTATAATTAGAACACCTGAAATTTATTGTTTGTAAAACAATAAAAATAAAATATCAAGTCAACGTAATATGCAAATTTGTTTCATTAACACATCAATTAACAAAATAAATAATTAAAGTTAAAAAAACCAAAAAAAAAACAATCAACATTATAATGATCTAAAAAGAAGAATTAAAATGTTTCTTTGGTCCACATAGTAAACCCAACATGTGTCAATTTGGTCCACATAGTAGACACAACATGTGTCAATTTGGGGCACATAGTAAACACAACACGTGACTATTTGTGCCACATAGTAAACCCAACATGTGTCAATTTGGGGCACATAGTAAACACAACACGTGACTATTTGTTCCACATAGTAAACCCAATGTGTCAATTTGGGGCACCAAGTAAACACAACACGCGACTATTTGGGCCGCATACTAACACAACACGGGTCAATTTTGTCAACATTGTCAACACAACACGTGTCAATTTGTGCCACATAGTAAACATAACACGACATAACACGTGTCTATTTCGGCCACATAGGAAACACAACTCGCACTCATTTTGGGCCACATAGTAAACACAACACGTGTCAATTTGGGCCCAATGGGAAACACAATACGTGTTAATGTGGGCCAATAGTAAACACAACACGTGCCAATTTGGGCAACATAGTAAACCCAACACATGTCAATGTGGGCCTCATAGTAAACCCAACACGTGTCAATTTGGGCCTCATAGTAAACCCAATACGTGTCAATTTGGCTCCCATGGAAACACAACACGTGTCGATTATGGATAAAAACCCAGGAGCTTGGAGCCCTCGTCTTAAAGGATTTAAATTGACGATTGAATGAATAATAAAGCATGACTTAAAATCCCCAAAGCTGTCTGCAGTATTGATCGCTATAAAACACTATAATCTCATGGACACGTGGATGAGGTGGTAGGGAGACAAAGTGCATGCGATTTATAGAAACATTTTGCTGGATGGTGGTTTTTGAAGGGAGACTGGTGGATAGCTTTGTGCTCAGTTCATTCCCAACAAACATACAAGATTTCATATTGATCGTCAATTTAAACTAGCAAGCTATTCATCACAAGCCAGATAGCACCTTCCTTAATACTTGAGACATATCAGCCATTTATAATTTCAAATAATGCCAATCATATCCACATGGTACACATGGAAAAAACAACAACAGCAGACCACTTATTCTCCACCAAAAACTAATTTAAAAGCATGCAAAGATGCAACGTTAAAGGGTCTCAAAGTTGTAAATATGGTCGTTTCTATTAACAATGCTTACATCTTATACATGTCTGCTTGGTTTCTTGCATAAGTCTATTTAATCTGCGTTTGATACGAGGTGATGAATTCCCGCACCAGCCGGTAATTTTGAAGTTCAGTAAGCTTCCAGTTGTTGTACATGTTAATAATGTGTTTGTTAGCGCCAAAATTGTAATTTTTTTTAAAAAGAACAAATCATAGTTTGAAAAATGTGCACCCTCATGAAATGTACAAAACTTCCAGTAGCTTAACTTGACGATAATATGCATGGGTCGAAATCCTTTCATTACGCCTTTACATACGCTACTATAGCATTATGTAGGCAATTAAGATAAACGTGCCATCTCAAAAGGTTCCTTTCTCAAACGTAGCTACACCTGTGTACACTTAACGCCATAAAGAATATTTTTTTCCCCTGAACTGTCCCACCTCCTATTGATCACGATCAAGCACTATTTTTTCCCGAGTAATTTTTCAACAGGTACCTTGTTATATTAAAAGGACATTGTAAATTCTCTAGTTTAAATACTTTTTTAAAATATACTCTTTGAGGTGGATCGATTCAAATTTATTTTTTAAATTAAATCTATAATGGCCCACAACGCTGCGATAATAAATGTATACTAAAACTGCGTGCACGAAGTGAGTCGTTTATTATATATTTATTTTTATATCTTATATGTATCATAAGTGGTGCCTGTTTTTCTTAAGATCTCAATTTTCTCTATCGTTAAAAATTTACCTTATATTTCTTAGTCGAGTGTGTGTGTGTGGGGGTGGGGGAAGAGAGCACTAACTGTAGCTAAGCAACTGTACAAATTATTCTAACGACAAGAAAGTGATGTTAACATTTCCATTAATTATCTATGATTTCTACTTGCACTACTGTTACATTTTTACTAGCTTCATAATAATACTAAAATAGATTAAGTTGAACTTGTACTTAAATAGTATATTAAAAAATATATATTTGCTATTACTAATAGTTGTAGTGACACCTTGGGAAATTCTATCTGCTAATTCATGTTTAGCCTGTTAACATTTTGAAACTCAATCGGTTTGCTGTATCCATGCTCATCTACAGGATGTTGCCTTTTGAACAATGCTTCGTCTTCTTCTCTACATTCTATTGTGTTAACTGCAATTAATTCAGATGAATCTATTTCTTCGTCACTTAGATCAGCGCCATCGGGTATCCAATATTCATCTTCTACTTCCAGATCAATTGGTTCCTCACGATTTCTTGATCCATTGTTTGGTGGTAATACGGCTTCGGTGTCACTAGCCAATTTTTTCAAAATACAAGTCTTGGGAATCTTTATGTCGTAAACTGGCTTTAGGTCGCTAACTTCAAGCAAAGTGTTATCGTTGTGATATGAGCTGTAAATATCAACATCTGCTTCTTTTGGTAACCGATACCCGTGATAACCGACTCGAAATTATTGTTCGTGTTTGTCAGAGGTTTAGACTAACGACACGTGATCGAATATGTCGACATTTCTTTCAATGCACATTCCCAGATTGCCCATTCCCGGAGTTTAAGATGGTCATGATAACTTAAAGGCATATTATTCTTTACGTCATACAGCTTATGCGGAGCACTGACATCTTCTGAGTGATCACACTCATGCATGTCAGAAACATTCATCAATATATTGTATTCATAATTTGGTCTGTCAGACACGTTGAAAGATGAACTCAGAAAAGAATCGATTTTCCTCAGGCCTCGCCGTGCTTGGGAAACTTGAGAACTTTGCTCTGCAGTATCATTTCCTGGAATTTCTTCTTTATTTGCTGGTTTAAAAAACGTGTTCAATCGTGACGCATCCACCTGGCTGATTGCATCATGAAAAATGATGCCCTTCTTAAACGGACCAGCTATGTAGTCACTTAATGTAACACACGTGTGAGGGTTAATCGTGTCTGTCTTGCTATTGTAAAATGTATTGGTTCTATAGTAAGCCCCATCAGCTATCCAATAACTCGGTTCGTAATCTGCATCAGCCGCTTTTGAACGCGGCCATACTTTATTTTTACCCATGCCAATGGCAGCGTCAGTGAAGTTAGTCTCAGATCCCTCCGGTGCCCAATAATCATTATCTATATTACTGATCAATTCTCTATAAGATTCCTCAAGGATAGTTGGATCAAAATCAAGTGGTTTGAAAGAATTATTTAAAAATGAGTTATTGACATTTTTCATAGCCTTAAATGATTTTAATGAGAGAGTCCCGTGTGGTAGTGGCAAAGTGTCATCGGCAGTTATGTAGCCGTTATCTTCAGCATTAATCTCGTGAGCAGTGGAACATTCACGTGCGCTATCGTGTTCAGTCTCATTAAATTGAAATGGATGGACTGATGAATTGTCTTGAATTATTTCTACTGACGTCTCTTTTGAAGCTCGTAAATAGCTAACACCATTGATAGTTGCTGTTTTAATTACGCGCTCAAATATGTCCGTCTTTGCCATATTCATTTTTCTTCGTCACAGAAGTCGGAAAAGCCATGTTCTCTGTCAATGTCAATCTGAGTTGTTTGTTCCCCCGACGTGTTTCCGTCCATAGCATCATTGAAAATGCCAACCGTAGAAATCTGTCCAGACCCTTTAAATTTATTGTAGGTATGCTCGTCAAGCAAATTTGACGTAATGTCATACGGTGTAACGAGCTCTGCATCTTGGACTGAATTATTACTGTCAATGAATTAAACTGAAATATGACTTTCCATGACTTCGATAGAATCAATGGGGGTTTCTGTAACGTCCATGAGGTAATCATAGTGATCCACCGGCGGCAAAGTTCTCTCTTCAGTGTCAATTTTAGATGTAATCTCTTGACACTTGCTTGTTTGATACGGAAGATAACTTGAACAGGGTCGTTTATAAAAACATGCATAGATAACATAATTGTGAAATAATTGAGGAAAAAAAAATTAACCGTTAA